GGAGTAATAGAAGCATTACTTTGGTAGAAAGTAATATTTTTGTTTTGTTTGTTTTGTTTTTTTTTTTTTTTGCTTTTTTTATGATCCCTGGTCACTTGTATCTAATGTGATTCTATACTCAGCAGTGGATGAATGTACTTAAAAACCTGTAAATAATTCTGCAAAGGTACTGATGCTGTAAAGCTTAGGGAGGGGGGAAAAACAGTTTTTTGTGGAACTGTGACATTTTTGTATTATAATACCTTGTAGAACTCATTTTGCTGGCTGAAAGAGTATGGACTAATATATGTCATGTCATTTTGTAGAAGAAAAAAATTGAAGGTATTCTCTTCCCTTCCTCTTCTCTCACACGCCCTCCTTCAACACGTGCACACACAAGTAACATATATCCACTGTAAGCGTTTTGTCATTGTACGGGCACAGTGCGCGTACCAAAAATTTTTTTGTATATGTAAATTGGTTTAAATACATGGAGTTTTTATACAGGTTTTCTCCTGTGTTCTTTGCTTTACGTGCAGGTATAATATTTTCTTCACTACTTTTTTCTATCTTAATATAGTGTGGAGTTTTATTGTACTATTTTTTCATTCTTAATACCATGCCACATTCCGGCTCACATCCTCAGACTGTCCTCTCTACTGTGTGTTGTGTAACATTTATGACTGCCTGTTGTATTAGCATCTGACTGGGGTGACCCAACCATCCTCATTTCTGCAGTGTCAGTAGGATGTGTGACTATACATAGATCTAACAGTCTGTTAGAGATTGGCTTTATTTACTTTGGTGACTGTTTATAGTTTTTAAATAAAACACTGAACATTTTGCTTTGGTTTATTCTTGCTTCTTCCCCCTTTCTCCTCAGTTTCTCTCACTTTCCTGTGTTTTTATTCTCTTTATTACTTTTAGCAGTCAGTAGATCTTTGACTGACAACCAGGGGTATCCCATGCAGTCTTTGTGCAGCTTCCAGGAGGTATATGGAAAGGTTGTTGAGTAGCTTAATTGAAAAACAAATTAAAATTTGATTTTAAAAAATTTACACATTGAACTGTAACACTGGGACTGAGTGCATGAAAACTAGTTGGTAAACAAGCACAGTGGTTTTAAACAAAAGGTTGAAATAGCTAAAAATCTATAAATGGCTTTAAATATATAAAATATATAACAAAATATATACTTTATTTGTAGCAGTAAATGGTTAAGTAGCCTAAGACATAAATAAGGTAAAGTAACAGATTATTAGATGAAATGGTTAGAAGTTATTCCTGATGACAAATTGTTTAAATTGCAACAAGTAGCCTTGTGTATAAACTTAAAAATAGCTCAAATATTTAAATGATTAAAATAGTTGGCTAAAAGCAATCACTAACACAAACATATTGAAATAGATACCTGCTGTAAAGATAGCCTCTTGGATTAATTAATAAAAATAGCTGCATAGTTTAAATCTATATTTAACTATAGAAATGCATTTCCTGTCGAAAATGCGTGTGGATGCTGATATGCTGAAGGATCGCCCTGAGAATGCATGAAATCAATTGCTGAAACAGCTGAAGGATGAGAAGAAATGGCTGAAGTTCTTTGTTGAATAATCTAAAGAATGAGATGTAATAAATACAAGCATATAATGTCCTTGGAAGAGCTGAACATGTTGATACCTGAATGGCTTTTCTAGCAGAAAGTATGCTGAACTTAAGGTATGAAAATTATCCAAAAGTAGGTAAAACAAGTAGCTGTGTGTGTGTGTGTGTGTGTGTGTGTGTGTGTGTGTGTGAGAGAGAGAGAGGAGTTATT